GATGGCCACCAGCTTCTGCGGCAGCTCTTCCGGCAGCTCTTGGCGCAGTGCCTTGCGGCAATTCCCGCTGTTTCGATACGCTCTGGCACGCGCCCTCGTCCACGTCGCAGGCAAGGGGAGTTGGAGTCCGGCGCGAGCGGTCTGGTCCCACATTGCGAGAGCATCGATCACTTTCCCCTTCGGCACCGTGATATCCTTGTGGCGGAAGTGTTGCTGTGTCGCCAGCACCTCCTGCATCGCTTTCAAAAATCGCTGACGAAGCTGCTGCTCCCAGAGGAAGATAGCGTCGCGATCGACGACAGTGCCGCTATCGAGTGGATCGGTCGGGTAGTAGTCGAGACTCTCATAGTGAGCTTGGTCGAGAAAGCCGGCCAGCGCCGGCGCATTGCTGGCGTAGTCCCAGCACGAATGATGTCGGAAGATCAGAGGCGAGTCGACGTGCAACGCCCCGAGGAGCTGATGTCCGAGGCGAAGGGCCGCCGGCAAAAGCACCTCATCGCGAACAAAAATGTCGAGGTCGCCGGGCAAGGCTTGCGGATTGTCTGCATATGGGTCGACCCATCGAAAGACTTGCTCTACGTCCTCCCGTCCAATCCACCAGCCGTTGCGCAGGTGCGCGAAGCAGAGCGCTGCTGCGAAGGATCCGGCAATCACGCATGATGAGCCATCGCCCAAATTGCGCAGTTCCACAGTGAGAACGTAGATCTGATGGAGGGAACGGCAAAGAATGAATGCTGGGGTGCGGTGAGGTCACCGCGCCGCGCCACCACTCGGCACAGACAGCGCGCGAAAAGATGAATCCCGTCTGGGACAACAACTGACCGGTGAAGAGCAAATCTGACTGCCAGCCCCACTCTGATGGGTCGTCAAAGCCAGTGGTGGCTTCCACACAAGTGCGAATGGCCTTGCACGTCGCGCGCAGAGAAAGCATGTCGGCAATATTGTAGCTGAACGGATTGTCGTGGCCTCGCGCCTCGATGCAGAGAAGGAATGTCCAAAGCGCGTCCAGTGAAGGTCCGTCCACTGGCCAGCGAAAGAATGAGCTGGTTGCAGTTGCCATAGCCTGCTAGTTCTCGGCAGCAGCCCGATAGCTCGAGGCGAGACACGAAAGAGAGCTAGAGAGAGCGAGCTAGGGCAAGGACTGAGGGCGGCTCGCTTCCGCTGGTTTGCGAAAAAAATACAAAACAGGCTGTTCGGCTGTTTACAGGGATCGGTGGTCTGTTTCTCTCTTTGAGTGTGCAACGGGGTTAAGCTGTGGACAAGATGACCACGACGATGGCTCCATGACCGAGGGCGCGCCGCCGCCCGTACGAGTCAACGGGTACACCTTGCGCGGCACAACAGTCTCGGCGACGCTGAAGCCGGTGCGCTGTGCGCCAAAAATGAAGAACGCGCAGCCGAATCCAGATTACCTGACCGACAATGCATACAGGATGGCGTCAGAGGCGGCCTGCAGGACCGTGATTCCGGCGATGCAGACCGATTTGCATCCAGAGTGGATCATGACTGGCTACCTTCTGCACGCTCTCGCACCCCTTGAGTTCGGCGACAACGAGGACGGCGCGCACATCCAGTATGCCTGCACCGTAATCAGCACCAAACCATCGGCCGAAGCAATAATCAACGAGTTTAAGCGCAAAATGAGCACTTTCCTCAACCAGCCGCGCTTCTCGAGCGATGCGAAAATCAAGTGGCAGATCCGCAGGGCGCACGAGCACACCGACCCGTTGTACCTCTTTGGGTACGCCTGGAAGCAGCACCTCAGATACACGAACCTCGACGAGTTCTTCCACACGCGGGTCGGCCAGATGCTCACGCCGGACTACCTCAAAGCCGCCTTCAAGCACTACCGCTCGACGGCGCACGAAAACGAGGGTGGGGAAGCTAGCGAAAAGGCGCACGCCGGACCAGGCGAGAAGCGGAAGGTGCCCCTGCTGACGCGCGCGAACCTGCTGCCCGAGATGGAGTACTTCGACCACGATCAAGGCTTCACACCTCTGAACCTCTCCGTCGCCAAGCTCGCCTCCCTCGCCACCTCCCAAGGGTTCTGGAAGCCGCACTCCATGTTCGTGTCAGGAACCACGCAGAAGCCGTCGCCTGTCTGCCAGAACATCTGGTTCCGCATCCGCCGCGATCGTTCCAAGGCGGCGCGCATGGATTGGATGAATAAGCTGCTCTACGGTCCGGAATATGGCCCCGAGGACGACATGGCGATTGAGCAGGCTCTCACGGCACACAACGACGGGCCGGCGCCGTCAGTGACCAACCCACTGACATACGCGGAGTGCGTGCATTCGATCCGCACCGGTGTGCTGCCCACGGGCCAGGTGCTACAAACCGGCCTCGATGGCTACACAGGGCGCTCGGTTCTCATCGACCTGCACGGCTGCCCGGCTGCAAAAGAGGTTGCGAGCGCGCTGGGAGGCAACGAGATGCGCACCCTCTTCGCGGCGCACTTGGACATGCAGCCGACCGCGAGCGCCAACGGGAGTGCACTCACTGCCGCTGCTGCGGCCCGCCTACTGGCTTCTGCTGCTGAGCCGTTCGCCCTCAGCCTGGCAGATGTCAAGGCGCGACTGCTCCACCCGACGCTTCTGGATCAGGTGGGCCGCATGCTCTACCTCGACTCCGTCTCGCAGGGCCTGTCAGAAGAGGACATGCTTAACCTGCAGACAGCTGTTGTGGACGAGAGCGTGTCTTCGTCTCACCCCTGGATGGCGAGCGACGCCCAACCTGATGCCTGTGTGGAGGACGACATCCTCAACGTGCGCGACGTGCTCGCACGCGTGCAAGGGAGCATCAACACGTTTGAGGAAGGCCCTCCGAAGGTGCACGTGGCAATCGTGCGTGACAACACTGAATACTTCGCAATTGCGTGGCAACTCAGCCTGCAGCACAATGCCACCCTGCGCCGTCACCGCCGAGAGCCAACTCCCCCGCCCCCTACCACGGAGGCAGGCTCGGGCGCGTGTGCTGCACACGAAGATGCCCTTCGAGCCGCCCGGCGAGGACTTTAGCCACCCTTGCTACGTTAGAGCGCGACGATTGAGCTCGCCACATAAGATCTGTCCAAAATGGTGTATGAGCATGGCCGTGTTTAATCTCAATACTTGAGTAGTTGGCTGTTAGTCAGTATGATATAGCTGTATGTGCCGACGTCGGTTGCTCGGCGTCGTGTTGCGCCGCTACTGGAAGTGCGCGCATGTGCAGTTGATGTGTGTAGACGATCGTTCACTACCTGTAGGGCTTGGCACCGTCTCCTGCTAGCGGTCCCTTTCGTCGATACCGGCTCCCTCCCCCCCCCCGGGACAAAAGCGTCGAAAATGTCCCAAAAATGCGTGATGCGAGTTTGTGGCAACCCCACAGCCGGCGCGCGCTGCCAGGAAGCACCGCTCGCGTGTCGGCCGCACTCCCTGGCACCCAGGGAGTGCGGCCGACCGACCAGACCGAGTAGGCTCGACGCCGCGCTCGCTGTGGGGCTGCCACAAACTCGCCGCCGAGCGTGCCACCGAAGGTGTCCCGTCGGAGGTGATGGAGTGTGAGACCTGAGGCTACGGAGGTGACGCCTGAGGTACCGGCCCGTGCACGGCGACTCAGCCGGCGACCGTCACGGGCTCAGACGAGACTTGTCGACGCGTTCCGGCTCAGCTTCACCGTGGTCATCGGGCGTCTGTCGACGTCAGGACCACCCATACAGCTCGCGGGTTTGAGGTCGCAAGAACCAAGATGGCGGCGTTTGGACATCCCAACCATCACACAAGACAGCCTGTAGGTGATGGCGGGACGGCGCAGTGTTTGTGGCACTCGGCAGTAGGCACCCGCGGCACGGCCCCGCTGTCGGCTCTCGCGGGCTGCGGAACCGGCCACAGAAGGGGACGGTCCGGGCGAGTGTGGCAGCTCCTGCGCTAGTATGGGCACCCTCTATTATAGCACTACTGACCCTGGTCATTAGAGCTGCCAGGAATAGCGTCAGGAGCCGGTAAGAGTCAACCGTGGTCCGGTACGCCGCCGCCACCTCGTCATTGTATCGGCTCAGTCGGGTCGTGTCGGCCGTCATCAGGACCTCCCCGTCCGACATCTCCACGGCTGCTTCTCCAGAGTCACCTACCGACGATCTCACCGGGAGGGCGAGGGAGGCCACCTCCCCTTCTTGTATCACGTGGCCCTTCCCACGGGACAGGCCTGGCACGGCTAGCATGACCGCGAGGTCCTCCCGCCATGTTTGTCCCAGCTTGGAGTCGGCTGCGAGTCCGCACCGCTTCATCCCTTCGGTGGTGTGTACATCGATAACAGCCTCGGTCCCGAATGACCTGGAGACGGCAATCTCATCAATCATGACCACCGCTCCACCACCCCCCGGCGTCGCTTGAGCCCATCTGATCGCCCGCAGCCTGCATCTCGTGGCCCGCAAGAGGCAGTTTCTCCGCCATAGGCGTATCACTTCGCCCCCGGGGCCTTCCCTAGCCGGGTTGAGGGCGGTCATTTCCCCCCCTGACCGTAGCTGCTGCCACTGTCTGGCGTCTGCTGCCACCCAAAGGACTCCGTCCACGATTGGGAGCAGGCCTGCTCTCACCAGCGTCTCGGACGGGGTAGGTCGGAGGGCGTGCTCTCCCGCTACCGCCTCCTGCGGCCCCACGCGGCCGGCCACGCATGCACCTAGGTTTGTCGCCCAGGCTGGGGCGAGCTTACCTCTCACCGGGTTTGGGTCAGCCCCATCGGTCATGGGCTTGATCTCCACAGGCTGGTCGTATCCAAGCGCCGCTGAGCTGACTCTCTGCAGGTCCCGGCGCAGCTCCTCCTCATTGCCATGGTCTCTCGGCAGCGGGACTATCACGACACCGTCATGCTGAAGGCTGATGACCGCACGGCCCGTCGCGCACGCCCAGTTCCATTTGGCCGTCCTGGAGACCGCCTCCAGTTCACGGAAACCACGTCCGCTTGTGTTAGAATTCTTCTCGTGAAAGTGAGCCAGGCGCTTGGACGCTGCCGCGAGCGAAGACCCTCGTCTCGCCCCTCCCGGGCCCCAAAATTCGCGCGGTGATGAGCGGCGGGCATCTGAGCAAGGATTTCTTCGAGCTCATGTGCGCTCGCACGCTCGCACTTCGCTGCGGACTCCGGATGCACACCGCGGTGTGCGTCCCCTCACCGCGTCCGCACCCCTGCACCGCGCAGCAAGAGCATCGGCGAGTGCAAATCGAAGCAGGAGGAGGACAAGATTCTGGCGGCCGAGGTGGCGACGCTGCGCCAGCGCTTCACCGAGCAGCTCAGCCCCAAGAAGATGAAGGAGGCTGTCGTGCGGATGATGTGAGAGACCGCTCCGCAGCCACCGCCACGCCTGGGCACGAACAACCGCGCGCCTACCCCGGCGCCCTCCGCCGCAGGTATGCGGAGATGCTGGGCCACAACGCCGACTTTGGCCACATCCACGCCGTCAACATGTCGCAGCAGACCAACCTCATCGCCAAGCGTGTCGGGCGCGCGAGACACTTCCGAGACACTTCCTGGCCACTTCCTAGACACCTCATCGCCAAGCGTGTCGGGCGCGCGAGACACTTCCGAGACACTTCCTGGCCACTTCCTAGACACCTCATCGCCAAGCGTGTCGGGCGCGCGAGACACTTCCGAGACACTTCCTGGCCACTTCCTAGACACCTCATGGCCAAGCGTGTCGGGCGCGCCTTCTGCGACAGCCGCGAGAACAGCGACCACAGAGCTTCGACAGCATTCGACATCTCTCCCTCCCCCCCCCCCCCTCGCTTGCGTGCGCACCGGCTCCCTCCTGCTGCGCCCTCCCCCACCCCTGCCGTCCTGCCGCCTCTGCCCTTCTCACGCCTCTCCCGCCCCTCTGTGTGCAGATACCTGGCGTCGACTGTCTGCTTGCACTCTGGGTGAACGCAGCCGCCCGCCAACACGGGCCCCCACACCCCTCCCACACACCTCCGACACTCCTACCTCGCACCTCCCACACCCCTCCCACACACCTCTTGCGCCGCCTCGCTCCTTGCGCCGCCCAAGCCGCTAGCCCGCCCCCAGACCAGACCCTCCCAACGGCACACGCGCTCAGCACGCGCGCACCGCTCGGCTCAGCTCGGCTGATCTCGGAGAATCTCGGAGAATCTCGGAGGATCTCTGAGAATCTCGGAGAATCTCGGAGGATATCGGAGAATCTCGGAGAATCTCGGAGAATCTCGGATAATCTCCAGGCACGAGCTCACCACGCTGCTGGTCAACACGATGCGGCGCGACCTCAAGTCGACCAACCACGTCGAGGTCTGCTCTCTCCCCATCTCTCCCCATCTCTCCCCCATCTCTCCCCCATATCTCCCCCATCTCTCCCCTCAAGTCGACCAGCCACGTCGAGGTCTGCGCCAGCCTGGTGGCGATCTCTCCACATCTCCCCACGTCTCTCCCACTCTCTCCCCGCCTCTCCCCGCCTCTCCCCACATCTCCCGGCCTCTCCTCACATCTCCCCGCCTCTCCGCCAGGTCTGCGCCACCCTCGTCGCGATTCCAAAGCTGGTCAACCTCGAGACGCTCCCTGCGCTGATGGACCCGGTGTGCCCCATATCTCCCCCATATCTCCCCCGTCCCTCCCCCGTCCCTCCCCCGTACCTCCCCCGTACCTCCCCCACATCTCCCCTCAAGTCGACCAGCCACGTCGAGGTCTGCTCTCTCCCCACCTCTCCCCCACATCTCCCCCACATCTCCCCCACATCTCCCCCATATCTCCCCCACATCTCCCCCAGGTGTGCGCGCTGCTCGACCACCCCAGCGAGGTCGTCCGCAAGAAGGCCGTCATGGCGCTGCACCGCTTCTGCCAGCTGCAGCCGTCCTCGGCGGCCGACCTTTCCGAGAAGCTTCGGCGCGTGTTGTGCGACAAGGACCCCGCCGTCATGGGCGCGTCGCTCTACATACTGCATGAGGGGGCCGAGGCGGACCCAAAGGCGCACCTCACCCTCACCCTCACCCTACCCCTACCCCTCTGCCCCTACCCCTGCCCCTACCCCTACCCCTACCCCTACCCCTTAACCCCTGCCGCTGCCCCTGCCCCTACCCCTAACCTCTCTAACCCTACGACCCAAAGGCGCACAAGGACCTCGTGCCCTCGTACGTCTCCATCCTCAAGCAAATCACGGAGCACCGCCTCCCCTCCTCCTTCGACTACCACCGCACCCCCGCGCCGTGGATCCAGGTCAAGCTGTGAACAGCGTCTCTTCACACCTCTGGCTGTGAACAGGCATGCCCGCGCCGTGGATCCAGGTCGCGATCTCCCCACATCTCCCCCCACATCTCCCCACATCTCACCATATCTCCCCACATCCCGCGCCGTGGCTCCAGATCAAACTGCTCAAGCTGATGGCGACCCTGGGCACCGCCGACCAGCGAGCGTCAGAAGGCATGTACGAGGTGTGAACAAGGAAGTGTCTAGGAAGTGTCTAGGAAGTGTCTAGGAGAGGTGCTCTGCTCGGCCGTCCCTCCGCCGTACCTCCTCCGTACCTCCTACTCTCGGCTCCTCTCGGCTCCTCTCGGCTCCTCTCGGCTGCTCTCGGCTGCTCTCGGCTACTCTCGGCTACTTTCGGGTCCTCTCTTGCAATCTCTCGGCTACTCTCGTGCAATCTCTTGCAATCTCTCGGCTACTCTCGTGCAATCTCGTGCAATCTCGTGCAATCTCGTGCAATCTCGCCCAATCTCCCGGTGCAGGTGCTGCTCGACGTGCTGCGCCGCGCAGACACGGGCATCAACATCGGGTACGCCATCATCTACGAGGCGGTGCGCACGATCACCGCCATCTTCCCAAACATCCAGCTGCTCGAGACGGCGGCGAGCCACATCTCGCGCTTCGTCTCGTCCGACAACCACAACCTCAAGTACCTCGGCATCAAGGCGCTCGCCGGCATTGTGCAGGTTACCCCCCCCCCCCCCCCCCGCCCCCTCCCCCCCACACACGCACCGCTCACCCACGCGCACTGGGCCTTGCACGTTTCAATGCCGTGCCAGCTGCTGTCGTCCAGACGTGGAGTCGCGAGGGACTAGCCTGGCCCTCGCCCCACCACCTCGTGTGTGTGTGGAGAAGTTTACCCTTACCTTACCCTACTCTGCAGGTCAACCAGAAGTACGCCCTCGAGCACCAGCTAGTCGTAGTGGACTGCCTCGAGGTCTTCGCCCCCGTAGAAGCGGAAGACGCGCTGCCTTGCGGGGCCCCCACTGTCGCTCGTCGGAGCACGAAGCCACACTGCACGCTGCCGCCTTGCCCCGAGGCTGGCGTACTCAGCACGCACGACCCCGGCTACCGCACCACCCATCGGACCGAGCCCCCACACTGGATTCGAGACTCTGGAGGTATGGGACACGCAGGACCCACACTGGATTCGAGACTCTGGAGGTATGGGACACGCAGGACCCACACTGGATTCGAGACTCTGGAGGTATGGGACACGCAGGACCCACACTGGATTCGAGACTCTGGAGGTATGGGACACGCTCGACCCACACTGGATTCGAGACTCTGGAGGTATGGGACACGCAGGACCCACACTGGATTCGAGACTCTGGAGGTATGGGACACGCAGGACCCACACTGGATTCGAGACTCTGGAGGTATGGGACACGCAGGACCCACACTGGATTCGAGACTCTGGAGGTATGGGACACGCAGGACCCACACTGGATTCGAGACTCTGGAGGTATGGGACACGCAGGACCCACACTGGATTCGAGACTCTGGAGGTATGGGACACGCAGGACCCACACTGGATTCGAGACTCTGGAGGTATGGGACACGCAGGACCCACACTGGATTCGAGACTCTGGAGGTATGGGACACGCAGGACCCACACTGGATTCGAGACTCTGGAGGTATGGGACACGCAGGACCCGGACGAGACCCTCAAGCGGAAGACGCTCGACCTGCTCTACCGGATGACCAACGCGGGCAACGTCGTCTTCGTCGTAGACAAGCTCATCTCGCACCTCCGCGAGACGTCGGACGACGCCTTCCGCGCCTCCCTCACCGAGCGAATCACGCAGCTCGCCGAGCGGCGCGCGATCCCCCGCGACCCCCCGCGATCTCCTTCGATCCCCCGCCATCTCCCGCCATCTCCCCCGCCATCTCCCCCGCCATCTCCCCCGCCATCTCTCCCGCCATCTCCCGCCATCTCCCGCCATCTCCCCCGCCATCTCCGCCATCTCCCGCCATCTCCCGCCATCCCCCGCCATCTCCCGCCATCTCCCGCCATCTCCCGCCATCTCCCCCGCCATCTCCCGCCATCTCCCGCCATCTCCCGCCATCTCCCCCGCGCCAGGTACGCGCCAGACAACTCGTGGTTCATCAGGACGATGAATTGCGTCTTTGAGCTTGGCGGCGAGCTCGTGCGGCCGGACGTGGCCCACAACTTGATGCGGCTGATTGCCGAGGGGTCCGGAGAGGACGACGAGGCGGACATGGCGCTCCGCCGCTTCGCCGCGGCGACCTACTACTCGATGCTAGACCGGCCGATCCTCCCCGACATCCTCGTCTGCGTCATCTGCTGGGTGCTCGGGGAGTACGGCTACCTCATTGGCGGCGGAGTGGCGCGCGAGCCGGAGACGTAGTCTCGTCTCCCCGCCAGCGCTCGAGAGGAGACGCACTCCGTCGTGCGATACCACGCCACACCACACCACACCACGCCACACCACGTGTCCTCCCGGCCCGACCCCTCGGCGCAATGTACGGCGCAGGCGCTTGAGGATGTGGTCGACAAGCTGGTCGACGCCGTCGAGGGGCAGTTCGACGCGCTGTGAACAGCGTCTCTTCACACCTCTTGCTGTGAACAGGTCGACGCCGTCGAGAGGCAGTTCGACGCGCCGTCGACGCGCTGCTGGGTAGTCGTGGCCATCACAAAGCTGGTCGCGCAGCTGGGGGCGATGCCGGCGCAGGTGGCGGAGGTGTGTGGCAAGTACAAGCAGTCGAGCCAGGTGCTGCTGTCCAAGTACTGCTCCGAGCTTGAGGGGCTCGCGGCAGAGGTGGGGACCATGCACGCCGCGCTGCCGACGGACGCCTCCTGCGAGGACCTCGAGGTGGGGACACACACACACACGCACACACACACGCACACACACACACACACACACACACACACACACACACACACACACACACACACACACACACACACGCACACACTCACTCACTCACACCACACACACCTCACCCACCCACACACCCACACACACACACACACACGCACACACACACACACACACACACGCACACACACACACACACACACGCACCCACCCACACACACACACACACACACACACACACGCACACACACACACACACACACACACACACACACACACACACACACACACACACACACACACACACACACACACACACACACACACACACACACACACACACACACACACACACACACACACACACACACACACACACACACACACACGCACACACTCACTCACTCACACCACACACACCTCACCCACCCACACACACACACACACACACACACACGCACACACACGCACACACACACACACAGACACACACACCGCTCACCCACGCGCACTGGGCCTTGCACTTTGAATGCCGTGGGGCTCCTGTCGTTAGACGTGGAGACGCGAGGGACTAGCCTGGCCCTTGCCCCACCGCCTCGTGTGTGTGGAGAAGTGTCCCTTACTCCACCTCACCTTAGGTGGACCCCGCCCTCGGCTTCCTTGACGCGTACGTCGCCGAGGCGCGCAGCCCTACCCTACCTCCATCGTATCAAACCCAGTGCGGGTTCAGTCCCGTGGGCGGTGTGGTAGGCGCTCAGCCGCGGGGCGCAGCCCTACCTCGCGCCAGGCGAGATACAGCGAGATGCAGCCCGAGATACAGCGAGATGGAGCCCGAGATGACCTCGAGATGGCCCGAGATGACCTCGAGATGGCCCGAGATGACCCCGAGATGACCCCGAGATGACCTCGAGATGACCTCGAGATCAGGCGAGCGGCCAGACGAGCTGGACGTCGGTGGGTCCATCTCTGCCGCCGGCGGCGCGCACGGCGGCGGAGGCGGCGGAGGCGGGCACGGCCTGCGGTTCGACGAGTATGAAAAGCAGCAGGCGCCGTCGCAGATCCTGGCGCCGCCGCCCGCCGCCGCGCCGACAAACGGGGCTCCAGCGCCGGCGCCGCTCGGCTCTGGGCTCAACGTGTCCGGGGTGCGGTCGGTGTGGGGCGCAGAGGGCTTCAAGGCGGCGGAGCCGGCCGCGCCTCCGCCGCCGCCTCAGCCGGGGTACGGCGGCGGCGGGTATGCGTACGGCGGCGGCGGCGGGGGCGGGGGCGGCG